TTGTTCTTTGTTGGAGAGTTGGCCTTGTTATGCTTCTCCTGGTCCTCCCCACCACTCACTCTTGTTCATTTCCTCAGATATGTTGATGGGGTTCATGGGTACCTTCATGACATTGCCATTAGCCAGCGGAATAGTCATCATGCCTTCACTTGAATGGACCTTAAGGGAGGAAGAGACAATCAACTTCATATACTTTTCTAGGTTAAAATCTCTTCAAATTAAAGTTCCTTCAGTTAAAGCAGATTAAGGCTATATGCAATACACTTGAATCTGTATCATTCAAGCTTAATTCTTTCTTTTACTGTAACTTCTGCTAACCAAACAAACATTAATTACTCTATCCTACATTGCAATCTATTTTTCTAATAATGAAAGAGCCCTGTGCGGACCACCAACTTCCCTCCTTTATACCATTCATTTCTTCCAATCAACAGCCAAACATCAAGCCTTTCTTACACCAGCCTTCTTATCTTCCTCGGATTCCTCTGTATTGCTCTCCTCTTCTTTTTCCATCCTCTTCTTGCGGCTGAACTCAGGCAGGGTGTCATCCAGGATCTTGAGCTCACGCTGGGTAAAGAACCAGTCCAGACACTTGCGGATACCAATCATCACCACCAACTGAAAGATTATCATAAATCTTTGAATATATAAAAAAAAGTATTAGTATTGGAAAATGAAAGATGTTACAGATGTCAGACACACAAAAATTTCCACTTCAGAAATTTATAAAGCAAAAACAAGGAACTTACCATAAGTGGGAAGAAGATAGAGGTCTGACTGAAAGATTTAATCACCCAAAGAGCAATCAGACAAGCCAGCTGGATAACAGTGAACAAGTGTACTTTTTTGAGGGGAACCTGGAATGAAAACATCAAATGTTATTATAAAAACTTTCACTTAGAGTGTGCTTTAATTCCAGTTAATAGAAAAGAATAATAATAAATGTGTGTGCATGTCTGCATAAGTGGGTTTGCATGTTACAAACTAAAAATTATATACAGTATAACTCAAAGTTACACATACTGACACCTACCTTACGTAAGAAAGAGTAATCCGGCTGGTACTTGACAGGCATGAACATGATAAGGATACGATCAAAGAACTGCAAGCCTTTCAGAGCAGCAATACCCATGTACAGGAAGACACCAAACAGTACAGGCATAGGGATCTTCTTAAGGATTGGAGTCATGACCACAGACAACCCAATAAATGCGAAGATGGCGATGTGGGTGATGCGGTTTTCCCTGTAAAATAAGAGAAATGATATGAAATAAATTCTCTGCAAATAAAAAAAGAGGCATATTGTCAGTCAAAATACAAGTACACTACTCTGATTGTGTACCATACCTGACACCAAGGAACTGTGGCTTCTCGCCAGGAGCTGCACACTCTGACTCTAGTTTAAGAGAGTTAACGTGGTTGATGGATAGCACAGTAGCAGCCACAAACCATGGCAAGCCCATAATGGAATTAACAATGAGGAGGAGGGCAAGGACAAATAGATCGAGATGGTATCCACCACCTTTCTGTTGTTTGCAAGGAAGAGAAAAACTTGTATTAGTTTTAACTTTTTATGAAATATTCATGGCATTTGAAAAACAATACAAAATTGTAGAAAAATAAAGAAGTTTGGTGAAATAAGAGTAGTATTTCATTAATAACAACACAGACTTAGAATGAATAGTTTTCCACCTGCTTCCCTAACTAACCTTGAGCTTATGCTCCTTTCTGTTCACAATAACAGCTGTGATCTGCTGGTCCATGAAGATCAAAATGGTGGCCAGGAGAGCTGGCACTACAGCAACAATGGAAGACCACCATGGGTTTCCTGCAATATTGAATGTCAACCTCAGAGGATATTATGTTGATGTCATCAATGGCTGTATTCTCATAAGAACAAATCTAACACAAAGAATGATATGAGTAACAACACTATTTTACCATTAAAGAATGGGATAAGCCAACCACGGCCCTCCCAGGTGGGCTTGAACTCTCCTGGGACTTCCAATTTTGGGGTGTGGATGCCAACTGCAAAGTCGAAGAAGCTCATGGCAAGGATAGCTATGATAACAGCAAAATCACTGATGAACTGTCGGACCTGAAAGGAACGATAACTATCAACAAGGGACCATTATAAGCAGCTGTATACATATTTACAACTGATGGCAACCAAAATCACTGTTCCCTCTTCACATGAAATCTTGATCTTACCTTGGTTGGGAAGAAGGAAGCAGTCTTGAAGTCCTTCAAGTAGATTGAGATAAGGAATGTTCCAAAGAAGAGGACAAATGAGAGCAAGTAAACATCTGGATAGAAGTGCTTGCAGCCATCGCCCATCATCGTTCCTTCATAGAGCTGTTCAGAAAAGAACAATGAATATTTGGAAGTCAAAATTTCTATATGCAATTAATCCCTGCTAAATCTTCCCTATGAATATAATATCCTAACTCTATTACCTTCTTGGGATAATGACTAAACTGCAAACAGACAATCAGCCATTGCAGCAGTTACCCTAACAGTAGTATGGGTTTCTAATAGTTATGTGCATGTTGATAGTTTGATTTTAAAAGTGTCTTTTATTTCAAAGAACTAATATTTTGAAGCAGTTGTTTCCCATTTTGTTTTTCTATTTGATGTCTCATGATTTTACTTTTTCCCCAAATTTATTTTTATGAACCTATTGTACACTAGCACCAAAAACAAATTAAAAAACAGAAAATAACTGTTATCAGGCACTGAATAGCTCTTTCAAATGCAATAAATAGAATTCACATTAGATGTCTGTATGGACTGTGGAAACCACCCCATTACCTACCAAATTTTGACCTCAGTTTTAAAAATTTCAGTGGGGGGGCATCACTCCTCCTAGGGAGTTTAATAAAAATTTAAAATATAGCTCAAAAGATGCATTTTTTCCTCTATGAAATGCTAAATGAATCACTGCAATAAATTAATTAAGTGGCTATTTTTTAACAGGCCTTTAACCAAAACTCTACAGCTAGTTCCCTTAAAGCATATCATCAAATATGCCATAATAATATTTTATGAAATGAATGTCCAAATGCAAATACAGAGGACGATTTACACTTAGACTCTCAACAACTTAGGGAAATGGTAAATAAAAACACTTGATAACTTGCCATTTTGCAATCTTCTTCCGTAGCATTGTACCATGGGTAGGTTGAATTACCATATTGAGTTTCATTGCCAACAGTGCACATACATGACTTTGGGATATCAACATGAGTCTCCATTGGATACTTCGTGCCAATCTTAATTACTTTCTCAATCGCCTATGAGAAAAGAAGAAAAAAACACACCTTTATAAAATTTGTTTTAAGCACAGATAATTGAAAGTAATGTCTACTATTCTGGTGATAATATTTCATTAACTTAAAAGTCTTAGGATTTTACTTTTTATTTTCAAAAAATTTCAATAGAGTTGAAGAATTTAACTAATCAAACCAATGCTGATGAGCATGATGCTAAGATATCTACTTTATGTCAGAGGGCATAGTATCTTAAATTATATTGGGAATACAAGCAATCCTTTTCATAATCAAATTGAAATTTACAAACTTGAAATCATTCCCTAAAATTAACTTTTGTTAAATGAAAAAAAAAAAAGCAAGATAGAACATGCACTCCTTCTGCACACCTTGTATATGAAGATAAAGGCAATCAGTGTAGCAAAATTCTCTTCAGTGAAGCGGGTGATGTAACAGACAAGAGCTGAAGCATCTATAGCTACTAAGACGATCAAAATGGCACCGACCCAGATGCCAATCCACAGACGGAATGACAAGTAATCCCATTCAGAGGTTCTGTAGGATAAATGAGATAGAAATGTTCAGTACAGATCTGACTGAAAATAAGAATAAGAGATGATGATAACAGGGTTTTGTCATTCTGATATTTGATGAACTAATGCAACTGTCAAAATACAACAGTCTTGAGTGAATCTTTACTCCTAACCAAAAAACAAAAAAAATATAACTTGCTTGCAAAAGTCATAAAGGATAGTTTCAAAGACAAGAACAGGTCCAGTTGAGCCCAAGATGGTCAGAGGCTGGCCAGAGAAGAAGCCATAGATTACTCCGCATATCAAGCCGGCAACAAGGGACTCCATGGCTGCAATGCGATTCTCCGTGGCCTCTCCAAGCAGTCCTCCAAAAGTGATGATTGGTGTGAGACAGGCAAAATACAAGAAGAAGAAAGTGGCAATGGATTGTATGGAAATGCCATCCTTGAAGTCACTCCAGTACCAAGGCTTCTTCCGCTTGAGGTCATTCACCAAGCCGCCAAAGAGCCTTCCTGTACGGGTCAAACCAGCCTGTTCCCGTAACTTCTGCTCCTCCTCCTCTTCATCAATCACTTCTTCTGGTTCATTCTTCTTTGGAGTTTTACGAGAATCCTGAGATGGAATAGCTGCAGGAGGCTCAATCCTGTAGTATAATAAACCAAAATCAGTGTGAAAAAAATATATAAAATATATAAAAATATATAAATAAAAAATAATATATATCACAAAACTTGTTAAATACTTCATAGCACATTATTATATGTACAATATCAAAATCTTTATGAGCCACACCTAATAGCAGGATCCCATTCTCCAGGAGGAAGAACTGTGACAGCATCAAGGAACTCATCAACACCTGCCAGAAGATGACTGCGGTTCTTGGCCTTGTATGCCACATCGTGGAAAACTTCATCACTGAGAAGCGTAGCCATGGCACGCCCAATCTCGTGGTATCTTGGAAGACCACCCTAGGAAAGAAAGGGAAAAAAAGAAGAAAAAAAAAGATTTTTTCCCATTTCATGCATGTTTCAATGATGGAGTATGATGGAATTCATTTTAGTTTCATTACATTTTCTCAAGAAAAACAAAAATAAAAAGCTGAAATATTTCACCAGGACTCAATAAAAAGAAATTTAATTTCTAAATAACTGAATCACACTTACAGTTGGACCCAAAATAATGTAAAGGAACCTGGTCG